CCAATCTGGGTTGGTCACCCAGGACCAGAGGTTTTGTCTTCCAAGCTTGTGGACTTGTGTTGGAGCCAATCTTCAGGGAACTTTTCTCTAGCAGAGTGTGTGCCATATTGTGTGTGGTATTTATAGAGCCTGCTGTATGTGGCTTTTTAGGTGTTGATTGGGTTGATGGCTGGCTTTTAAGTCATTAGTTGTGATTTGCTTGTGCTGTCCAGCCCTCTCCTTCTACATACTTGATAAACTGGTGGTAAATCAGCACTCTTTTTAATTGACAATGAGCCTGTTTCCCAGGCTTCAATCACTCCCCTGGCTGTTTTTGTGCCTGCTCATCCAACAATCTTAGTAGCTGCAAAATTGAATTTGTATCCTTGTTCATTGCCTTCACCTAAATTAACAAATACTGACTGGTATTTTAGTTACTGGCATCCAACTATAAAAAAATTTAATAAAAAGATCACAAAGGCCCAAATCAGATTTTTCCACTCCATTATCTTAAGATCTGAAAATTACAAGCATGCTGTCCAAAATAATTCCTTTCTCTACTAAATGAAAGTTCCTTTTCTTCCCACATTTACTTAAACAACGTGATAGCAGTAGATATGAAATACTATACATTTGCCTTGTGGCAGAGCCAGAATAAGTTAATTCTTGTTCTTCTGAGCAAGTTATCAAGGTGTATTAGCCAGAAAGCATAGTTAAAGTATGGAGGAATATAATCAAGACTTTGGGAATGGGAGTGGAAGGAACAAATAATTAAGAAGGCTAGATTCAGGAGAGAAGCCAGTTGGCATTGTCATGAATGGGTGTGCGAGTGAGATCTCTGCAGAGCATAGCTGGTTTCTGTCCATCCAGGGGGCTCCTTGGAGCCAAAGCTGCCCTGTAGGGGCAACAGGAGAGGAAGGGCTCTCTGTTGATCACAAATGGACAGTGGTCCTGAAAGAAGGCAGAGAAGAAGATGACCATTAATGGCCGAACCAAAGCAGTGACAATTGATTGGAGCAAGAGTTGAGAAAGCAGAAGAAAGCAGTGGATTGGACCTGGAGAAAGTTTTTTCCAACTTCCACCAAAATGAGTGAATTTCCCTATGCTGATTTAAGAAGAAAGGGGAACTCCAGAGAGAAGGAGGGAAGAGAACTTCTTCTTCCTTCTCCCCACCTTTGAAGCAGCGAGGAAAAATGCAGAACAGTTACAGATCCATAATAATAAGGAAGGAAGGAAGGGAGACTTGTTGTTAAATAAATAAATTAAATCAGAGAGACTGGACTGGACTGAACTTTATAAAAGAAGATTTGGGAAGAGGTAATTTTGGATAGAGACAATTTGCAATTATATTGAATCACCTTCCTGGACTTTGGTTTAAAATAAGGAAAGTAAAATGTCTTCCCCTCCTTGCATGGACCTATAAAGTACTATGAGAAGAAATGAAAGGAGAAAGGAGGACATCTACTGGTCAAAGAGGATATAAAATTAAAGGATTGTGGAAGTGACGAATAACCCCCCCTCCTTTTTTCCTTTCTCTCTTCCTGGATATTTTATCACTTATATCTTCAGCTGACCTGAGGTAGATTACAAATAACATGGATTAAAGGTTAAGTGCTGCATGTCTCCATCTCTTTGGAATACTGAGGTACTGGAGGTTGGCGATATAATAGGCCCTGTGGATTATAAATACTCTTGATGAACCCATAATACAGATAAAGCAGAATGTTAAGGACAAGTATAGCGGTCCATCTTGGATTACAATTTTCTGCTTCTTATCCTGGTCCTATCATCAGCATCAGCATCATCCTTATTATCTCTTCTAATTGCATATAAGACATTGTGGATTATAAAAAGAATGGACTAAAGGGAGGATTGAAGTGGGATTGTATCTAAAAGACGTTTACTTCTTTTTCTATACCTATAGGTCAAGCGAGATTTGGGGTGCTGGTGGGTTATATGCATATTAAATGGTGATTGGAGGTGTTCGACACTAAAAAAAAATCAGAGGTAAAATTGTTGACCATGACAAGCACTACAAATCTAACAAAGATAGGGATAGGGAGGAAACCTGCCTCCACACCATCATTGGCCACCTCAAGTCCATCCAACCAGGGGCAATAGAAGGCATGTTACAAATGGAGATATCAAATTCATTTAAAGAATTGCAGGCTATGCTCCAATTGATACAGGAGACCATGACAAAAAACCATGATGAAATCATCAGTGTTGTGGCGAGATGTACAGAAAGATATGGAGACTTGGAAAAAACTGCCGCTGTCTTTACTTGGAAGAATAGCAGCAGTTAAGATGAATATTTTGCCAAGATTTCTTTTTTTGTTCCAAATGATACCGGTGCTTAAAAGTGATAAACAACTGAAAGAATGGCAAAGTGGAGTGAATAAGTTTTTCTGGAACGAGAAAAAACCGAGAGTGAAACTGAAAATTATGCAAGACGTTCCAGAAAGGGGAGGTCTTAAACTTCCAAACCTACAGTTATATTATGAAGCAGCAGCTTTGACTCAAGCAAGCAATTGGTTTGGAAGGAAAAAGACTGGAATATTGAATATAGAAAGTTTTGATCTTGAATTTGGATGGCACGCTTACTTATTTTATGAAAACAAAGTGGATAAAGTATTTAAAAGCCATTTATTTAGAGACTCTTTGATGAGAGTTTGGAAGAAGCACCGATTCAAATGGGATTATAAAATACCGCTATGGCTGGATCTTGGTCATATTTTGTGGAATACAAATATAATGTCACTCGGGGGGGGTTTATATAAAGAGGTTCTTTTTACAGATGCGGGCAGATGGCAACTGAAGACATTAGAGACACTGTTGGCCGAAGGGATTAATTTAACTTGGTTACAGTATAACCAACTTCAATTGAGATGGAAAGAGGACCAAAAAATTGGTATTATGTTGCATGAGGAAGAACTGGTTAGACATATAAAAGAAAAAGGTCCAATGCATATTAAAAGACTTTATAATGTTTTGTTAGAAAGGGATTCAGAAACTGAACTGGTTAAAGATTGCATGATTAAGTGGGCACAAATTTTTGCAGAACCAGTGATGTTGGAAACATGGGAAAAATTTTGGGTCCAGAATGTTAAATTCACACAGTCGCAGAATTTGAGGGAAAATTTTTATAAAATGTTTTATAGATGGCATTTAGATCCTAAGGAATTGTCGTGTATGTACCCTAATGTTCAGCCAAAATGTTGGAGATGTGATTGTTTAGATGCTACATATTATCATGTTTGGTGGACCTGTAAGAAAGTTAAGGCTTTTTGGATAAAAATTTGGTGGGTCATGCAGAATGTTTTGAAGAAAAAAATTCAATTTTCTCCACAATTGTTTTTACTGGGTATAGTTAAGGGTTTTACATTGGATGAAACAAAGTTGATATTGTATATAATAACAGCAGCGAGATTATTGATAGGCAAAAACTGGAAAAATGAAGTTTTGCCCACTATTGAGGAATGGACTTTGAAGATGGCCAGCTTTGCAGAGATGGCGAAGATTTCAGCATATCTAAAAGATCGCTCACAAGAGACTTATGAATGGGAATGGAAAAAGTGGATAGATTATGTGCAGAATAAATATCAAACTAGGAAGTATCAAATAGCTTTTCACTAACAGTATTATATAGAGATAGAAATATTTGAATTTTGTGAAGATGAAAAATTATATGGGGGACAGAGGGGTTCAAGTTTTATATAAAGGGGATTTTGATGGGAGTATATTCTGTGGAAGTCTGGGGGGGAGGGGAGGGTTAGGGGGGTTTGGGAGGGTTAGGCTGGGGAGCCTGGGATGGGTTGGGGGGTGAAAATGGGGTGAAAATGTAATTGTAAAACTTTTGCAATAAAAAAAAAAACCATGATGAAATGAAGAAGGAAATAAAAGTGAGAAATGATACGGGAGAATTAAAAGAAAAGATACAAAAGATGGATGAAAAGTTTGAAAATTTCCAGCAATTGATTACAAAAAACAAACAGAAAATACAGGAAATAGAAGAGAGTATGGAGAAAGAAGAAAAAAGAGTACATGAAATAAACGATAGACTCACCCAAGCAAATAAAGAGTTAGAAACCACAGTAATATTGCTAGAGACAGATAAAGCAGCACATTATCTAAGATTCCAGAACATGGAAGAGGAGAAAGGGGAAGACCTACCGGATGTTATGGCAGAGTTACTAGCAAAGACATTAGGGACAGAGAAAGAAGAGATACTGATAGAAATTGACGAAACATATAGAATACATACGAACTGCGCAAGGAGACACAAATTATCAAAGGAGGTGCACATAAGATTCGTGAAAAAATCGATGAGGGACAATGTGCTCAACAGGACAAGAGATGAAACAATACAATATAAAGGGAAACAATTGGTAGTTCTGAAACAGGTCCCAAGAAGAGCTAGAGAATTGTGGAAGCAGTACTAATTTTTAACAGGAATGGTAATAAATCAAGGACTACCTGTACATATTTTGAGACAGAGATTGAGGATGAATAAAGGAGAGCACAGCCACCCTCAAATTATCAGCAGAATTCCCATAGGAATATTAGGAAATATTAGCCTGGGATTAACCAGCTTAATTTGTGCCTAAATGTATTAACTATTTAATTGCTGAACAGAATAATGAATGAATGGATGGATCAGGTGGATTTGAAATTTTAATTCCAAAATTTATCTCTGTAGTGTTCCTATATCAGTGGTGAGTTGCTACCGGTTCATCCTGGATCAGGCAAACCAGTAGCAGCAGTGGCGGGAGGTTCCGCCGACTCGCCCAGACGCTTCTGCGCAGAAGCGTCATGCGTGCTTGCGCACGAGCAAACCGGTAGCAAACTAAATTGAAACCCACTACTGTTCTGTATCCAAGATGCAAATATTGTAGAGTAAGTTTTCTATAAATTGTTAAAACTGATTTTGTTCTTTACAGCTTAAAGTGTAAGTTACTGTAGGATTTTACATTTTGATGTGCTGTTATTTAGTAATATGTCTATTTTTTATACTCCATTAGCCTCAAAGCAATTTTCAGAAGAAGTCTTAAGAGCCCACAATGATTACAGGAAGAAGCATGGCGTTCCTTCACTAAAACTCTGTAAAAAATTAAACAGAGAAGCACAGCAGTAAGTACAATTACATCTTCTTGATTGAATGATAGTATTATACTTGGGTTGCAAACTATCTTTTTGATACAAGTAGCCCTTGACTGTAATGGAGCCTGCGGCCCATTATGGCTGAAAGTGGTGACAAATGTTAAATGAGATAATACCACTTAATGACCTCCATTCCCTGCTCTGCCTAATGCCACTGTTAAATGAATGTTCAGGTTGTTAAGCAAGCACAGGGTACCTGATGGGTGGTGGAGGAGACTCTGGGAGGCCCACTACCCAGCGGAGGACAGACAAGCACCAAAAAGCTTTGCAAAGCCAAAAGCAGCCCAGAAGAGTGGAAGAGCTCAGCTAGATTAAGGCCCAGCACCGCATTCTAATGCCAGAGAGACTCCCAAATAAGCCTCCATGCTTGGTGGATGAAGCCACATTGGTGGGTGGGCCTCTATCCTGACTAGCTGCCTGTTGGCAGAATGGGACAATTCATCAGGGCCACAGGATCTTACCCATTTTACCCCAGATTTTCCAGCATGGCTGACCCACCAAGACACTTTGTCCACGGCTGGTCCTCAACCACTGATATACTGATGCTACAACTTCTCCACTGCTTCTCCAAGGCTGCCTAATCATAGCCAATGCATCACAACCCAAATCTTCACAGCCAATTCGCCCCATGGATAATTAAATGGACCTCTGGTGCTTCTCCCTTCTGGTGTGCTTTTGGCATGCACCAGATGGCAAGAAACACAGGGGGCTTTGGCAGCAGCAATGTTGGAAAGCAGTGGTGGGTATGGGGGTGCAGGGGGCCCTGCGGTATCACATTCATCAGCAGCCTTCGGATGGCAAGGGGAGGGGATAACAGAGAGGCTTTGCCAGCAGCCTTTGATAGCACAGGATGGGAGATGAAGAGAGTGGCTAAAATGTGCTATTCTTATTTCCCAGATCTGTTACCTACTTTTCCAGCGAGAGACATGCACCAAGAACCACATCCCTTCCATGAGTTTAAATTAAAAGTTAGTTTAATCACTTTTCATTCATTGGCTCAGCTGTGATGAACTTTGTGCTTGCTCATGGAACAGTGTGTGTGTCTCGTTGGAAAGATAGGTTTCAGATTGCTGCTGGCTAACTTTAAAATGATTTCCAACTTCCCTTTTTTTTCCTGACTTCCTTTTTGTTAAAAGTTCACCAGCTGTGACAATGTCAATCTATCAGATTCTGGTAGCCAAGCAACTGGGATAAACGCTGTGGAAATGCTCAGCGCTTCTTCCCAAGTTCTGTGGATCTCTATCATTGGCATTTTTGCTTTGTCTTTACATAATGATGTTTAATTTGGTATGCTACATTGTCTTGGGACGTTTTGATGGGTTATGGGCAATCCTTTGGCTGGGGGGCAAGTTGGAAAAAATTTGCTGAGATGGCAATCCAACACCTCAACCTTCACCCCCTCTTTTCAAAGCAGTTGTCAAGATCCCTGACCCCAGTGCAAAGAACTTCACAGTGTAAGGAAAAACAAGTGCAAGAAATTGTGGTTTTGGAAAATAAAAGGGGCAGTTTTTATATGGAGAGATGTATTGAGTCAGGGGGAAGAGGCATATGGCACAAGATGAGCAAGCATGCAAAACTAAATGTACCTTTACATAAAGACACAGCACAAGTGCCAAATGGTAGAGATCCACAAAACTTGATGAGTTTCCATGATCCTTTGATACTGCCCCCGTGGAAAATAAGAAAGGAAAAATGCTTTTGAGAAGTGGTAGGGGAGGGGAGAAACCCCCCCTCCCCGCCCTTTTGCTAAGTCAAGAGCAAATTAAAAGCATGTGTTGAAAGAAATAACCGTCTGGTTCAGTTCCAAGCTGGGAGAAAGGCACTGGAGGCAAAATGGAGGCTGGAAGCTGTTTGGAAAGATGATTTAATGATGAAGCGGAACCACATGGGTTTGTGATTCTGGGCAGCTGACCACATGGAGTTGAGAGTGAGGGGTTTTTATACCTTCTCTTGGGCTTTGCACTTGAATTTCCTGTTCCTATGCAAGAACATGTATTGTACTGTACGGGTCATGTAGGAGTCATAGCTGGCTCTATAGGTTGTCTGAGCTAAGTTTGGTTGAAGTTTGGAGGGTAATGCAATGTCATTAGGAGATTGTGCAATGTGAATTCATCTGCTAAATGGCAGTGGGTTAATCCTATTATGTCCTGAAGGGTCATGTCTTAATCCCACCATTCTAGAGCTGAAGGTCTTTTGTTTTGTAGATAGGCTGGCCCAATCTTTCTCAATGGGCACAAAATATCTGCTGGGGGGAGGGAGCTGGGACTCTGAGTTTCTGTCTCCCTTAAGATTTTTTATTTCTCTTTCAGAGGGAAATATTTTATCTTGCCTTTTTTAATATTTCTCAAAATATTTCATTCTTCTAGGAGGGGGGTGGCTTCTCACATGGCTGGGGGAAATCAGCCGGAAAACAGCCACAGCTCCAAAATGGGGTATGTTTGTGTGTGTGCATGCATGCTTTCTTGGCTGCCAGAATCCAATAGATTCACGTTGTCACAGCTGCTAAAGTTTGATGAAGAGGAAGCCAGGAAAAAAAAAAAGGAAGTTGGGAATCATTTTAAAGTAAGCCTGAAACTTACCTTTCCAGTGAGAGACACATGCCAACACACACACACTCTCCCATGGCCAACTGCAAAGTTCATCACAGCCGAACCAACGAATGAAACACAATTAAACATTAACATTTAATTTAAACTGACAGAAGGGGTGTGCATGTTCATGTGTATCTCTCGCTGGAAAAGTAGGTAATTGATCCGGAAATAAGAATAGTACACCCCTTATACCACCCTTGCTTTCCAGCACCACTGCTGTCAATGCAAAAGTGCACCAGAAGCTAGAAGTGCCAGGGGCGCATTTAATTGTCTGCGGGGTAATTGGCTGTGAAGATTTAGATAACATTGCATCAACCATGATTAGGCAGCCTCAGAGAAGCAGCAAAAAAGTTGTGTCGTCAGTATATCAGTGGTGGAGGAGCAGCCATGGACAAAGCGATATGGTGGGTCAGCTATGCTGGAAAATCCAGGGTGAAATGGGCAGGGTCATGTGACCATGAAGAATTGCCCCAGACCCGCCTGTCCGGATAGTGCAGCAGAAAATTTCCAAAGGTTTCCAAGCATTTTTCTGTCTGATTCTCTTTAGGACCCATGTTTTGTTGCAGCCATTTCCTGCACATTTGTGCCCTAGCTGCATTTTTTTTTTTTTGAGCTGAACTTTTTCTTCAGCTCTTCAACACAAACAAGCTGCAAAAAGATTTTCTTTTCTTTCTTCTGCTCTTCAACCTAGCAGTAAAATAAACAACTTACAGAGTAACTTTCCAGGCATGCAGTAAATCTAGCATTGAATTGGATTGAGGCTGGAGAACAGCATGTTTAGTTTTAGTATGGTAGCTAATTGAGGGGAAGGAAGAAAGATCAATAAGTCTGTCCCGCCCAACTTTTTTATTTTATTGTTTTCTTTATTGAAGAAATGTGAGTTTCTTCGGCAGGGAGGGGATTAAGCAAAGGAAAGATTTTGGGAAGCTCTTTCTGAAGCTGCCACCTTTGCATACGGCTGGCTTCCCCAAATCCTAGCAAGGGCCAGGAGAAATTTGCAGTCTCCCAGTGACCAGCTGATTGGGGCAGAAAGCTCCAAAAGCAGTTGCCATTTCCGTAAGAAATTGTTAAGAGTACTGAAAATGGTGCTGCTTCCAGGAGCCATGGGAAGCAGGCCCAAGCTTGGCAAAGTCTTGTCTGGGTGGGATAGAGGAAAAGAGATATCAGGGTTCTAATTTAGAGTGTCCCTGTGGTCAGTTAATGATCATAGACAGCCACCATAAATTTGAAACAGGATTGTATCTAACTTTTAGAAAGTCCGTGGTAACTTTGAATAGCTGTTTAGTGGCAGCCTGTATTTCAAGGACTACATGCAATGTGGATTTCAAGAATATACTTACTCAAACCAACATTTTATACTTTTTCATGTTTACAGAATATTTAGCTTAAAAGATAATATAATTTTTTACAAGAAAATTGGTGACATGCTATAATTTGGTATAGTAATTTGTATAAAAATGCATTTGTTTAGAATTAAACAATTCAATGCTACAATAATTTAAATTAGTAAGATATTTTTTCTTCAAGAGTAACAAATGTAGTGTATAATTTATATATTTCCTCCTCTATGTGGATAGACCTTCAAATCAGTCTTGACTCTTGACAGATGCCTCAATCCATGAATTTTTTTAGCAAAATTTTCAGAAGTGCTTGCCCTCTTCCTGCATTTTGTGCTTAAACCAGGATTTGAACTCACAGTCTTCTAATTTCTAGCCTGGTGCTTTTAACCAAACTGGCTCACGTATTATTATAATAAAACTATTATATACAATAATGATGTATTTTTCCCAAATCATCTCTGTATTTCTACATGATAACTTTTTTTAAAATGCAAACTTTGGATACTGTCTAATATTTGACTGAATCTAGGGAGGGCTCTTTCATGAGTGGGTACACCACTGCCTTTAAAAAAAGAAAATAAAAAATAATTCCTTTTCCCAAGTGTTGAACATTTTCCTGATCTGACCCTTCACAGGCACTACATTGTGTAGAAGCCAGTTGAAGTGTCCATCTAGCCCACATCTGAACACTGAAAAGAGGGCATGTAATTTCAAAAGAGCCTATCTCACTCATCTCATCACCATCAATACTCCTTGTTAGAACAGGACCGAGTGATTTGTTTGTGTTGCCCACCGCCTATTCTTGCAAAAGAGAGCTTGAAAAAGGCAAGAAGCAGAATTCATCTGTAATCTGACTGCATAATCCCAACATTGCCCGTTGAAGAATAAGTGACTGCTCCAGATATTAAAAAAGAAGCTCTGTTTATTATACACTGCTCAAAAAAATAAAGGGAACACAAGCAGAAGACATCTGAGATCTGAATGAATGAAATAGCCTTATTTAATACTTTGTTCGTTACATACAGTAGTTTTGTGTTCCCTTTAGTTGTTTGAGCAGTGTATAAACTTCTGTATGTAAAGAACAACGTATTTAATAAGGCTATTTCGTTCATTCAGATCTCAGATGTCTTCTGCTTGTGTTCCCTTTATTTTTTTGAGCAGTATATTAAGGCAGCAATGTCTCCTTTGTTATCTGAGGTAGGGAGGAAATTGCCAACCAGCAGCCCATTAAACTCTAATGGATTAAATCTGAATTGCAACTCAGCAGTGAGGATGAATACTACTACCAGGTAGACCCATTGTCTCATTCCACATCATGTATTATAGAAAAATAAATCTGCTTTTGAAGGAAGAGACACATACCACACATGCTACAGTATTTCTGCTTTTCTACAGCCTGATTGCTTGCCTTCTGCAAGTAATTCAGGTTCATGGTTCTTCTTCAGATACTGTGACAGATTGAAGAGACTTACTCTTTTGATTCATGTATGTGCTGCTTTACACTAGTCATAGATGGCATATTTGGGCCCTGATGTCAATTTAAAAAAATTAGGTTTCAGATTATCTTCAGTGCATTTCTCTGAAAGTTTTGATACATTCAAGAGTAGCTTTATATAAAATACAACACTAAATAGAGTAATTAAAACATGAATAACTGTTGGTAGAGCTCCCAAATTGAGGAATGGTCATAAAAGAGGAGCCCTGATGGCACAGAGGTTAGAATGCAGACAGACTCTGTTCACAGCTTGGAATTTGTTCTTGAGGGGGGCTCAAAGTTGACTCAGCCTTCCATCCTTCTGAGATTGGTAAAATGAGGACCCAGATTGTTGGGGGCAATTTGCTGACATTCTAAACTGTCCAGAGGCTAAGTGCAATTGCCAAAATATAGTTGTGTGAACCTGTTCCAAGCAACTTCTGCCACCAGAAAAACAAATAAATTTGTTGGCTCAAATAACACTAAACCTAACTTACATTAACAGCTATTGGCTTCTTCAGACTGGAGAATTAAATAGCAGTTACAACTATTGCAAATCCAGGAGCAGGAGCATTGAAATAAGTAGAGACCTATCTACTTCAAAGGGAATGATGTTTCTACCAACAGAAGACAACATTCATTGTCCAAATCAAATTGTGACAAGAATTAGATACAGCAAGGAGTACAAACTAGAACATGGTTGAAAAGTAGAAGACATTCTAGATGTAGGCTGCCACAGAAATTCAATACTGAAGAGGGGAAATGTTAAATGCAAGAAATTCAATCTTATTAAATACAAGAAGTACCATGCTAAAGCTGGACTCTGTAGGCCCAGTCAGAAAGTCATATTAAAAAGTGACCCACTTGTCCGTAAACCAGGATAGCAGAGGCTGCAGAGGCTAAAATAGGAAAGGTTAGCAGGAAAAGTGGGGATAGATGGCTTTTTCCCACCAGTGTAAAATTTCTTCTCAAATTAAATCATGTATACTTCTGACTAAATCCTTTAGGCTATGTGCTCTCTATATTTAGCAAATACTTGCTTATTGTATTAAACAAGGTATTCAGAAGCACTTGCTAGCACAAGAATCCTCAAACACAGTCCTGAATCTAGCAGTGGAAAATGTGGAGAAAATCTAGCATGGGCTTCATACGATCAATCAGGTAAAATAAATCTTTGTTCCTATATACGAAAAGCATGTATTAAACCTTTTAGTGTAAAAAAAAAATCTTGCTATATAGTGTAATCTGTAGCACATAGAAACAGAACCCCAATTAATAAAGGCATTTAAAATATCTACTCAACAACTTGTTAAATCTTTCATAGATATTGTACCCTATCTAGGGTTCTAAATATCATGCAATTTAAGTTTCTATGTGAATTGTTCCACATGCTCCAGAAGGAGCAGCTCTGTGCCAAGATTCATTTATGCACATTCCATTTACTCTGATGAAAGTTGATAGCTGAACCATAAGCAGACCAAATCAAGAAACATTTTGAGTTTTATGGACTAATGGAATGAACTGAAGTGTGTCATGTAAAAAAAATTCCCTTTTTAAAATTTTTGGAAAAGGGGAACTCTGCATTATGGAGAATAATCTGGGAAGTTTATTTTAAAGGGAGTTTTAACATTAATTTGTCTTGAATTTTGCTTGCAGCACTTTTTAAAATATGGAAAGTTTCCCTTAATTTTCATTTCTTTCCTACTCATGCGAACTCAAGGTACAGTAATTTGAATTTTCCCTAAACCTGGCCTATTGACATCTCTCCATTCCTTTCCTTATTCTGATATTTCATCCCACTCCTTTATTGAACAAATAAATCTTTCTGATTTGCTTGTATATACATCCATAAATTTGACTTATTTATATATCAATCTGCAGACTTTTTAAAACTATGATTAAATATATATCTCCAAAATTTAAATATATATTTCCAAATGTGTGCTTTAAAAAGTAACATGTGCAATATAAATATTAGAATATTTGGAAAAGGGAAGCATAGTAAATCACAGAATATATTAAAATGCCTTGGAGAAAACAGATGAAGTTATTTGCTACCAAAATTTGCAATACATCAAGCATTTGTATTCTTGGTTTTTTCATACATTCTCTGTGGCCACAAGTAAAGGGAATGAATTATTCTTGCATAGTTATCTTGTCTCTACATTATCTAATGCTGCTGTGCCTAAATCTGTTATTGCTGGATAGTTTTGGTAGATCAATGATACTAGGAAAATAGTTAAATGGTTAGATTAAGGTAGTGAGATACAGATCAAGTCCTCATTTGATTATGAAGCTCATAGGATAACTTGAGGCTAGACAATATTTCTACTTAGTTCTGCCTCACAGGACTGTTGTGATAAAATGCAGAGAATAGGAATAAGGCAACAAAGATTTGAAAGATGCTAATAACAGTGGCCCAATTATTGGAAAAAGTTATTGAGGTAAGTGAAACTAGAAAAGGAATATGCAGGGCATAGCACGTATGCCATCTCATATTGGTTTTCCATCTTTAGCCATGGAATTAAAGGTAACATACATAAGGATTTTCCCATTTTTAACAGCAATGTTATTGGCTGAGCTATAGGGATCTAGGAACTCATCATAGCTGGCTTGCTCCGGCCAGCATGCTCTAGCCAACTCGCTTCTGCCAACTCGTCTTCGCCAAGTCAACACAACATAATTTCACACTGTCAACTCACTGGGGAGACAACTCACCCCAGGCGGCTGTAGGAAAAACCAGGTAGATAGATGATTGAGAAGGTGGGCAGAGCGTGTGGGGTGTGGCAAGTGAGCAAGCAGGTGGGCAGAGCTTGTGAATGCGGCAGGAGGATGGACCATGCCACCAGCAAAAGAAGCAGCATAGAACTTGTCCCACCATGCAGCAGCAGCCACAGTAGCCCAATTGCTGGTGAACCAATGTTTGGTGCAAGTTGGCGTGTGTCACGACAGGGCAGCACCCGGAACACTCCTCACCCTGTCCAATGCATCTTATGTGACCATGGTGATGCCAGTGCACCTTATTCTCCTCGTGCAGCTGTTGCCCCTCTACTGCCTGCCTTGGTTGCCCCACCATCCTTGGCCTCTCCTGTCCGGAGCCCAGTGCGGAATGTAATTCCTGGGATTAAATTCAGGCAACTCAGCCAGCCATTGGACCTTTTAAAAAAAAAAGATAATATGTATATATCCCCAAAGGAAAAAAAAAATAACACTGACCTTCCTATGCCTCAGATTCATTTTCAGTAATCCCATGGCAGCCTGCACTGAGCACCAATTGGGTGGCGGGCGGCTACTTCTGCGTGGCAGGACACGCTCTGCACTTTCATCTCTTGCTGCTACTGCAGCTGGTGGTGTGGTCCAACCTCTCGCTGCACCCCACATGCTCTATCCACCCACTCTCTTGATATCAAGCAACAAGCAATGTTGTTGGCTTATATGTTCTGCTCACCACTTGCTCACCTGGCTCTCCCTCTGACTGCTCGGGCAATCCATCCTCTTGCCGCACCCCAGACACTCTGCCCACTCACTTGCTTGACCACTGCACTCCACGCATTCTGCCTACCCACTTGCTGCCCTGCCTGCCCACCTGGCTCTTCCTCCAGCTGATTGCAACGAGTTATCCCAGTGATGAGTTGACCATGTGGAATTGTCCTGCAGCAACTTGGTAATGGCAAGTTGGCAGTAGCGAGCTGGCCACAGTGAATTGTCCCATTCTAATATGGCAATGTGCACAAAACTGTCCCCGGTCTCATGCCCTTCTTAATATGATGGGATTCCTATATGTATGTCTTTAAATAGCCCCAATATACTGTAGGTTAGTACTTCAATATCAACATTCTTCTTTTATCTTGCACTTATATGCATGTTGATGTTAAATAAATGAAAGATTTTAGAAAATCATAGGCAAATATTTTAATAATTACAGATTATTTATACATAAACAAAAGCTATTTCATAGCTACCCAGGCCTTTAAAAATTCTTTCAATAGTATTATGTGCTTACAATTTCCTTTAACTTATTTTAATAATTTCTTAAGAAATCAAACTATCATGGCCAATGGTCAATATCCTAATCAAATTGGAATTAGTAAAAAGAATTTGAACTGTCAAGAAGAGAGGGAAGGGAAGGGAAGGGAAAGGAAAGGAAGGGAAGGGAAGGGAAGAGTTCACTTCATTCCAGTTCCATTGCACAGTTTTCTTTGTCTTGCAGGAAGTGAAGTAGCTGACAGATGGTATAGTGAAATCAAGAATTATAATTTCCAAAGCCCTGGTTTTTCCTCTGGGACCGGTAGGTATACTGGGCTCTGTTTTGTAACATGGCACGGAAAGAAACTCCCAAACTTGCAAGGAAAGACTGGAAAGTGGCAGAAGCAAATTGCGGACCATTGTCAGTTACAACCACATCAGGAATCCCATGGGTGGCGAACAGGCGTCGTAGCACCCACACAGTGGCCTCGGCAGTGGTGGTAGGCATGAGTTCCAGCTCTACCCACTTAGACAGAGCATCCACCACGATTAAGAAATGACGACCTCGGAAGGGGCCGGCAAAATCCAAATGCAGTCGAGACCAGGGCCCATGGGGAGCTTCCATTCCCTGGGTGGGGCGGATGGAGGGGCCGGACGGGAAAACTGACAAGGCTGGCACCCGGAAACCCATTCAGAAACATCATGGTCGAATGAAGGCCACCAAACATAGCTACGCCCTAACTCCTTCATACGTACAATGCCGGGGTGGCCCGCATGTAAACACCGGAGAACCCCAGGCTGGAGGCACGGGGGAACAACTACCCAATGTCCCCACAGTAAACACCCCAATTGAACAGAAAGCTCGTATTGGCGATTTTGAAAAGGGGTAAAGACAGAGGGGGTCTGCTCCAATGGTCACCCCCTACTAACCCAGCGGAGAACCTGAGACAGGATAGGGTCCCGGAGGGAATGGGCAGCAATGTCTGTGGCGGTCAGGGGCAAGGATGACTCTTCGACTAGGAGGACGGGCAGAGCCGGGGAGGGGTCGAGCACCGGGGAAGGTAAAGGTGAACGACTCAGGGCGTCAGCATGAGGGATAAATTTACCAGGCTGGTATACTAAGAAATAGTTATAGGCGGCCAGGAAGACAGACCACCGGGACATGCACAGGTGTTTGGCGGCCTCCATCCGGGACATGCACAACCACAGGTGTTTGGCGGCCTCCATCCAGCAACCCTAGCAGGGGCTTATGATGTTACTAGCTCAAAGGACCTGCTGTATAAATACTCACGAAACCTTTTAATTGAAGCCACAGCTGTGAGAGCCTCCCGGTCAAGCTGACTGTAGTTTCTTTCAGCGGGGGATTATGTCCTAGAGTAAAACGCTATAGGGGCTTCTAACCCGTTCGGAAAACGGTGACTCAACACTGCACCTATACCGAACGGTGACGCGTCAGCGGTCAGGGTAAGGGGCAAATCTGCACTATATTGGACTAGGACCGCAGATAACGACAATAGATCTTTAACCGCGCGAAAGGCACGGTCATGTACTTCCGTCCACACCCATGGGGCTGTCTTGGACAGCAAGCGATGGAGGGGTTCGGCCACTGTGGCCTTGTGGGGCAAAAACACATTATAAAAGTTTAAAAGCCCCAAGAACGACTGCAACTCAGCTCGGGAGGTGGGCACCGGTGCGTGCTTGTTAGCCGCTACCTTGGTGGGGATGGGACGGATTCCCTTACCATCTACCAAGTAGCCCAGGAATTCTATCTGGGGAACGCCAATTTTACATTTGTTTTTGTTCAATTTTAACCCCGATTTCCAGAAACGGAGGAGGACAGCCCTTACTCGCTCAATGAGCTCGCCCCGACAAGAAGCGGAGATGAGCACATCGTCGAAGTAAGGGACTACTCCTGGTAGGCCCTGCAATAACCGCTCCATTAGGTTCTGGAAAAGGCCCGGGGCAACATTGACACCAAACTGCAGGCGCCGACACTTAAAAGCTCCACGGTGGGTTACAATGGTTTGAGCTTCCGCCAAAGCATCATCCACCGGGAGCTGCTGGTATGCTTGGGCCAAATCTAATTTAGCGAATATAGACCCTGAGCCTAGGGAATGGAGTAGGTGTAGAACTACAGGAACAGGGTAAGGATTTGCCGTCAACGCCTTATTAAGGGTACATTTAAAATCACCACAAATCCTAATAGACCCATCAGGTTTGATGGGAATCACAATGGGGGTTTCCCATTTGGAGTGGTCCGTGGGTTCTAAAACCCCCTGGGATAAGAGTTTGTCGAGTTCAGCATCCACTTTCGGCCTGAGAGCAAAAGGAACTCGGCGTGCCTTCAGTCTAATCGGGGCAACCCGGGGATCCACGTTCAGGAAGATGGGAGAACCCACATACTGACCCAGGCCCCCATCAAAAATGTCAGCGAACTCATTTAAAAGGCCCCCATACATGTCCACCCCCGTGGAATGAATTCCTTCGATCTGCAATCCTAGCGATCGAAACCAATCCATTCCCAGGAGGCTGGGAAGGAAATCCTTGACCACAATCAATGGAAGGGGTCCCACAAACCCCCTGGTTTCAACTAAAAAGGAACCCTGACCCAAAATTGGAATGAAATTCCCTTGGTAGTCCCTCAATCTGACCGGGCAAGGTTTTAACTGGCTCTTCCGTATGGTTGGTAACAGCCTCTTTAACACCCCCATGACACAACAGACTTTGCAGACCCCGTGTCCACCTCCATCTGGCAGGAAGCTCCTTCAATGTTCACAGTCATGTAAAGTTTGTTGTTGGATGGAGATCTTGAAAGGGCATTCACCTCAGTGATGCAGCAGTCATGCGAGATGGAGAAACACTCGTCTTTAGCAGAACGGCGAGGCTTAGACACAGCAGCAGGTTTCGGCAGGGATCGGCATGCACGAGCAATGTGGCCCAGTCTCCCACAACGGCGACACGTAGCAGAACGAAAATGGCAGGTCGACCTCGGGTGCAGGTCACCACAGCTGAGACATCCCGAAGGTGGAATCTTCTTAGGCCAACGTTTTTCCTTGGGCCGGGGCTTGGACAACTGAAGGCGGTCGATCTCAGTCTCCTCATCAGTAGACCCTTCAGAGACAATGTCATGCAGGGGCACTGTGGAAGAGGTAGCACCCCCGGAAGGGTAAAATTTCCGAATGTCAGCAGTGGATCTTTCAGCCATTTCAACCGCCTGGGCCTCCTTGATCGCGGTAGGAAGATCTAAGTTCCGTTTGGCCAGTAGACGCCTCTGCAACCTTATGTCCTTAACACCACACACCAGCTGTTCTACAAGGGCGTCATCCAGGTCGCGGTACTCACAATCGAGGGCAGCTGTTCGCAACCGAGCCACATAATGGTTGATGGTCTCCCCCTCATCCTGTAGAATTTGGCGCAGTTTAAACCTCCGGGCAATGTGGGACGGGGCGGATGAGTAATGGTCCTTCAATTTAAGCCGTAAGACGTCCCAGGCCATGGTATGCACTGGGGTAGGTGCGAACAACGCCCGAGCAGTCGTGAAAACCTCTAGCCCGCAAGAATTAAGGAAAGGCGCCCTCTTCTTACCCCTGGAAAGATCGGTGAAATCGTTTGATTCCAAGAAGCATTCGAACCTTTCCATGTAAGCGTCCCAAACCTCTGAGGAAGCATCGAAAGGGGCAAAAGTAGGCGGTGCCATTAGTAGTTCTCCACTCCTCGTCGCCAGTATTATATTCATAGCGCAGGCATTAACTGGGACTGATAGTGGTGTTAACAAGAACCTTTATTTGAGCCAACAGGCTGAAAAACACAACAGGGCTAACGCTTAGATAACATGTCAGGTCTTAAATACCAACTAGCTGTCAGAGCACAACCAATAGCAAACACAGATACTCCCGCGTTTAGGAATGTATGGAGGATGAAGACATTTTAAAATGTTTCTCTAATGTTTTAATTCAAAGCATCATTGATTTCAAATATAGGTATAGTTTAAGTTCTCAGAAAAGAAAGGGATTACTTAGAAATTTTATTAATATATGTTTATTTGTGTACTGCACTTGCATTTTAATGAATTTGCCTTATTTATTACATATATATATATATATATTATATATATATATATTATATATATATATATATATATATATATATATATATATATATATATTAGGAATAGCACTTAGACTTATATAGCACTTCAACAGTGCTTTACAGCTTTCTCTAAGCGGTTTACAGAGTCAGCCTATTGCCCCCAACTATTTGGGTCCTCATTTTACCCACCTCGGAAGGATGGAAGGCTGAGTCAACCTTGAACCGGTGAGAATCAAACGGTCGAACTACTAGCAGTCAGCAATCAGCAGAATTAGCCCTCAGTACTGCATTCTAACCACCATGGCTCTTAATATAATATACTAATATTGTATTTACAATATGCAAAATACAATATATATATATTTACACACAGACACACACACAAGTATATTTATATTTTCTTCTTCTTCTGTTCAGTTATGTCTGCCTGGACAAGTCCCTGCAGTTTTCTTATATAACTAACTAACTAACTCTCTCTCTCTCTCTCTCTCTCTCTCTCTCTCTCTTCTCTCTCTCTCTCTCTCTCTCTCTCTCTCTCTATCTATCTATCTATCTATCTTTATCTATCTATCTAACAAAGGTTGGGGGAGAAAACTATCCCCACTCCATCTGCCTCTCCAAAATTAAAACAGTTTTTAATTTTGTGCTCAGTTTTTTGGCACATTGTTAAATTTCTATTACATTGGAATACTGATCAGTGTTTTCCTTTATGCTTTATGTTTTTTCCTTTATGCACCTTTATGCTGGTAAAAAGAGCCAGGTCATATATAGAAAGTGAATAACATCTATACTTGCCTATCACATAGAATTCAATATACAAATTTATAACCAGATTACTATGGAAAATGTTCCAATTGACTCTAGAGATGGCCATATCTTTTAATTTCCACAATTGGCTTATCCATGGATAAATTACCCATTTGTCCTGGTATTTTGGTTAAAAGTTTGAGAGCTATCTTTTTCAAAAATGGGATTATATACAAGTATATATGGGATACATGAGTACTTTAAAAAGTGTTATCATATATATTTGCAGATAAATCCATACGTATATAAGCCAGTTTTAGGTGTACTTTCTCATCTTACCCATAAAGGTATATGTCATCCCCAAGATTATAATCCTGTTATTGGAATTCTACTGCTATTCCAATATGAAAGAGTAATGGAAAAAAGTATACAACCACAAGTTTTTTTTCACTGATTCTAGACTAAGACTTAGGGAAAGAGGTAAGTTTTAAGGGATCACTGAAATAGGTCATCGTGGGAGTGATAGTAATTTTTGAGTATATTTAGGCACTGAGACAGGGAAGGTATGCTGCTTGAGTCCCATCAGTTAATACAATTTAATTATATGGGGTAAGCAAGTAAGTAGGTAGGTAAACCTTATTGCGGTCTTTGACCAACAACTGTACATAAATATACTGTATACACATATATTTAGACACACATACACACACACACATTATATATATAAATGTGTGTATATGTATATACTGTGTTTTCCTGAAAATAAGACCAGCTCTTATTTTCGGGGGATGTCTTACCCACTTACCTTAGGACCACTGCAGCCAGGCCTCCCATGCCCCGATACCTGTTGTGATGCTGCCTGACTTCTGCAACTGCTTGCAGCTGCTCACGGCCAGATTCATGGCTTGTGCCGGTGCCACTGCTCACGGCAGGAAGTTGCATGGTGTGTTGTGTTGTGTCCGTGAGTGGCAGCATCGGTGTGATGCGCTATGCAGCATCCTGCCACAAGTGGTGGTACCGGTGCGATGAGACACACAGCTTCTGGCCGCAAGCAACAGCATCGGCACAACGAGACACATGGCATCTGTCCGCAAGCAGCTGCAGAAGTCAGGCAGCAGCACAACAGGTATCAAGGTGTGGGAGGCCTGCCTGTGACAGTCCTAAGGTAAGCAGGTTTGGGATGCGATGGGCAGCTCCACCCTCCCACCCCCACCCTAGCTGGATTTTTACACCTGTGCCTCGCTGCACCTTGTACATGCCCTTGTAAGATGGGGCTTAACTGGGGCTTATTTTGGAGTAGGGCTTAATTATATATTAGGCATATGTGTGAAAATTGGGCTAGGGCTTGTTTTTGGGATAGTCGTATTTTGGGGAAAACACGGTATATATACAGTATATGTATATAGTATATATATTGCCTGTGCCTGAAGAGCTTTATCCTGATAGACAGTACTTTGAATTGCAGCTGAAAGTAACTAGCTGAACTCATGGAACAGAGATGTTACATGGACATGCTATGTCATTTTTACAATTGCCCATATTAGACCAGCATATCAGGAGAAGTGGGTAATATTGTTGGAGTGCTGTACATACATACAACTCTACTGTGCCCTTCTTCTTCAACCATAACAATTTTGGATTACTTTGTATTACAAATTAAAAATAATCCTGTAAATTTCAAATATTAATATGCAAACTTTCCCTGTTGAGAGAAATATAGAACTGCTTCTGTAAAACAACTTGTTTCCATACTAGTTAAAAAGAGAAAGAAATTAAAATAAACTGTAGTATCCCAATCACACCACAAGATGGTGATAGATCACTACAATTTATTCATTTATTGCTCTGGTTAGGCTCTTAAAATTTTTTAAACAATTTTAATATTTTAATATTTTTTAATATCTTTTAATTTTCAAAGTTTAATCTGTTTTAAATTGATTGGGGTTTTAATCTGTCTGGGCCAAATTATTTAATTTGATTTTATTCCTGTTTTTTAAATTTTGTATGTATGTATTTTATTGTTGGCTGTTCACCGCCCTGAGTCCTTCGGGAGTAGGGCAGTATACAAATTAAATAAAAGTAAAGTAAAGTAAAGTTTTACTGCAAAAATGGCTTAAAGCTAGTTTAATGAAGACAATGCAAAATATACAGCAACTGTGAGTATTATATACTATTTAAACTCCAGTCCAAGTCATTGCACTGATTAATTGTTCCAACTGTCAAGAAATTTTTACTTGGTTCTATGTTGCTTCTCTCCTTGACTAGTTTCCATCCATTGCTTTTTGTTTTTCCTTCAGATGCTTTGGAGAATAGCATCTTGATTCCCTTTTCTTTGTGGCAGCCCCTGAGATATTGAAACACTGCTATCCTGTCACCGCTAGTCCTTTTTTAAAAAATTAAATTAAACATACCCAATTCCAACAATCATTCTTTATATGTTTTAGCATCCAGTCATCTTTGTTGCTCATCTGTGCACTCTTTTTAGAGTCTCAACATCTTTTTTTACTTTGTGGCAGCCAGAATTGGATGCAGTATTCCAAGTGTGGTCTTACCAAGGTGTTATAAAGTGGTATTAACACTTATAACAGTAACAGAGTTGGAAGAGACTTTGGAGATTATCTAGTCCAACCCTCTACTCACGTAGGAGACCTACACTAGGAATTCAAACCGCCGAACTGCTGACCTTTCTGATCTACAAGCTCAGCGTCTTAGCCACTGAGCCACCTAGCCAGATATTCTTCATGTGATCTTGATAAAATCTCTCTATTAATGTAGCCTAGGACTTGTTGGCTTTTTTGGCAGCTGCAGTACATTGCTGGCTCATATTTAAGTGATTGTACTCCAAGATCCCTCTCACAGTTACTACTATTATGCAAGGTACCACATATATTGTATCTGTGGATTTTGTTTTTCTTACCTAAATGTAGAACCTAACTTTTTTCACAATTGAATTTCATTTTGTCAACAAGCCTAGTGTTCAAATCTGTAAAGATCCTTCTGTATCTTAAGCTTATCTTCTGAAGTGTTGGCTATTCCAGCTTTGTGTTATCTGTAAATTTGATGAATTCCCGATCTGTCTCCTCATCTAAGTCATTGATGAAGACATTGAAGAGTACAGGGCCTTAGACAGAACCTTGGCGTACCCCACTACATATGTCCATCCAGGTAGATGCAGTTTCATTAGGACTACACGTCAAGTACGGTTGTCAGCCAGTCCATCTAGTGGTGATGCTGTCTAACCCACATTTTTTTATCTTATCAAATAATAGGTTGTGATCTATCAAATGCCTTACTAAAGTCAAAGTAAATGATATCCACAGTTTTTCTCTGGTCCACTAATTTTGTCACTTTGTCAAAGAATGCAATAAAATTTGTCTGTCATGATCTGTTTTTGACAAACCCATGTTGGCTTTGGTTATGACTTGTTTGCTTCTAGGTATTTGCAGATTAGTTGTTTAATTATCTTTTCCAGAATCTTCCCATGTATTGATGTTGGGCTGATACTGAAGATGACATTTAATTTTGTTGTATGAGGTGCAATGACACTAAGCTAAACTAAGCTGAGCTGAGCTGAGCTGAGCTGAGCTGAAGTTCAGTTGAAGTCTGCCAGGCTTAAAGTTGCCAAGGTTGGAGACCCCTATTCTAGGGTGTTGGCTATTCCTGCAAATCTGATGAGTTCCCGTTTTATTCTCTCATCTAAATCATTTATGAAGATTTTGAAGAGTACTGGGCTTAAGCCAGAACCTTGTGGTACCCCACTGCTTACTTTCCTCCATGTAGATGTAGTACCATTAAGTACAACTTTGAGTATGTTTTGTTAGCCAGTTACAGATCCAATAGTGAATGTTGATTTGTTCCAATGAGTCCCTTCAATTGGGAAATATGTATTAAAATATTCAGATAATGAATTAAACTAAATGGTGGGGGGGAAATGAGAACCTTTTTTCACAGAGTGCATAACAAATTTTGGAAATGGAAACTACTTCTAATTGAAGTTATATTCAATAACAGAGGAACAGGCTTCTTAAACCCAGTTTGCAGGGAAATTGAGTGCAAGGCTAGGTACAAGAGAACAAACAGTAGAGTTTCAGTTCAGTATTTCAATATTATTCACACACATACTGGAATCCAAATAAATATAATAGTAATAACAGCATCCCCAAATTGCTGAGCACATTGTAAGCCGCCCTGAGTCTCCAGAGAAGGGCGGCATATAAATCAAATTAAAAACAAAAAAAAACCAAAAAAAAAAAAACCACCACAATGATATAGTAAAACAAACAATACAGTTAAATAAACATTTCCTTCAGTGTCTAAAAAGAAAACCAATTTCGTTTATCAACAATGATTCTGAAGTAAGATTGAGATCAAGAATTCTTCATTTCAAGCCACTGTCAATAGAATATATATAGTCAAATCCATATATCTCTCTGATCAATAATCTAATTTGCGTTTGATGTAGGAAAAATATATATGCATGTGGAAATGTGTATTACGGTTAGCCAAGAATAGTTGGTTTGTATTCATTGTTATACTTTACTATAATTTGAGGCAATTCTATCCTATTTACTTTGACTTATGCTAAAACAGAAAAATAACCAAGCATTCTTTGCATGTATAAGTTAGTCGATAAGATTTTTATTTTTCGAAAGTTACAAAAGCTTTTCATTAACATGTAACATCCTATAATTACTTGAAGCATTTTTTCATTAACTACTAATTTGGTATTCCTTTCTCTTTGCTTCGTATAGTCTGATACTTATGACCAAAGTATTTTTTTAAAGATCTAATGCATTATTTTTACAATACACTTGATTTTTCAGGTCATTTCACAGCAATGGTTTGGAAGAACACAAAAAAGATGGGAGTTGGAAAAGCAGCTGCAAGTGATGGCTCCACATTTGTAGTGGCTAGATATGAACCTGCTGGCAACATTGTAAATTCTGGGCAATATAAACAAAATGTTTTTCCACCAAAAAAATAATAAACTATATGGAAAACAGGTTATAAAAAGAAAACTGGGAGTCCACCTGATTACATAGGATAAACCACTGTTGAATGGTACTTTAGTCTTTTAATGATTATTTCAAGAAATGTTTAATGGAGAAGCAGTTCTGCCTACAAAATTAATTCTTGTATGGAACCATTCCTGAAACACAATGAAAACACTGAAAGACAATGACACAAGCCAACATATGGAACATACATATCAAGAAATGTAAGAGCAAAATATATTGAAATAACAGTATTAAGATTGTAATATTTTGATATTGAAAGTTTGCAAATATATTTTAGAGGGTTTATATAATTTCATATTTGTACAGAATTCCTTCTCTAAAAGAAGGAATTCTGTACAAATATGAAATTATATAAACCCTCTGAAATATATTTGCAAACTTTCAATATCAAAATATTATAATTTGAATACTGTTGTTTCAATACATTATATTTTCAAGGATTTATAAAAAGAGGAAGGACTGGTTTTAATTGCTTACAATTAAATCCCCATAGGGATTGATTGTGTTGCAACAGTTTTAAATACACTAGACTGAATGCACATGAAAAATAGCAAATGTCCTAACATAAATTGCATAAAACTATTTATCAGGTGCATCCAGTGTTTGTAGATCAGTATGGACTGGTGTAGTAGGGTTGTAGGCATTTTGAAAATATAACTATTTTCACAGAGCACAAAACTTATATATCCATTAGACTCTCATCTGACTTCTTTTTTCTTTTATATAAAATGCCAGGACAGATCAAATTAATAGTTTCATTTCTCAGTCTGGAAGTTTGTTGAAGCTTATAAAATTACTATTTAGTAAGCACCTCACCCTCTTTTCATATTGCAAAGACTTTGTGTCAGTGCAGTATATGGAAAGTAAGGGGCTCCTATTAGGGACAGCTGACAAGTCTAGGGAATAGATTAGTAGTAAATGATGCATGTGTAAATGAGTTGTTGAGGAAATAGTAGCAAATGAGTTGTTGAGGAAGTGCTCCATTGCCACAATAGTCATGGCTTTTGCTTAGAAGTCACTTTTGAAAGAAATTTTTAAAAAGACTTTAAAAGGTCGAAAAATTTAAACTCTCCTGGTTAGGATAAACAGAGACCGTTAAAATGAATATATTACCCAAGACATTTTTTAAAATTTGAAATGGTGCCAATTTTATTCCGATGTAAAACTTTGCAAGACTGGCAAAAAACATTCATAGATTTATATGAAATGGGAGAAAACCGGAAATAAATTTTAAGATTTTACAGGATGGACCCAATTAGCAAAAGAAAACTCAGGACTATATTGGTTGGCAACATATAAAAAAGGACTTCATGCTAGTGGCTAGGCAATGGCTAAAATTGATGATGATGATGATGATATTCCATTCAATCCTGTTTGGTTCTTGGAGACTGCCTGAACAAGCCCTGCAATTTTCTTGGCAAGGTTTATCAGAAGTAGTTTGCCGTTGCTTCCTGAAAAAGTGACTGGTCCAGAGCCCTAAATGGCATGGGTCTAGGCTATTTGAGGAGCCATCTCACTCCAATAAGAATAGCCTGCCCCACCTACTCTAGTGGAAGGAGCCTGTCAACCAAGAAATTCTAGCCAGCAATGTCAAAGAAGAGCCTACTCTACTGTGGCCCCATCCCTGTGAATCATTCTATGATGATCAGAAGCGAGAACTGTTCCAACTCTTCAAGCATTCCGGAAGGGTATCAAAACCTGATTTTTCCAGTTGCCTTATGAAGTGTTTACTGCTGGAAGTGGTTGACAGAGTAAGAAGAAATTTCATCCCAATGTCGTTTGTCTCTTTGGTTCTAGTTTTTTTAAATGTTTAACTTTTTTAATTGTTTCTATACTTTTAAAAAATTTTCTGTAAGCCATCCAGAGTCACCTTATCTTTGGCAGGGGGAAGGTATAAATATAAAAAGCAAGCAAGCAAGCAAATAAATAAATAAATAGTAATCCAGCTGACTTTATGCCCAAGGCTGGACTAGAACTCATTTCTTGGTTTCTAGCCTGATGCCTTAACCAACTATATATTATAGTCTAAACTATAATAACTGTGTAATATAGTATAATATAGTATGCATATTACTTATCACAGATAACAGAGTTAAGAAAATGACAAAATAATAGAATGTCAGTTTCTCTCAGACCTAAACCCAAAGACAACACAGTGAAATCCAATCAAGTTGACCCTCCCCCCCCATTTCTAGGTTTAAAGATTGGAGTTCTAGCCTCAATTTTATAACCTCAAGTGACTTCCCAAGCACCAACTCATAAGGAGAGATCTCCATATCTTTCCTAGGTCTAGTCCTCAAGTGGAACAAGGCTACAGGCTGGATTTGGAGCTATGGGCTGGATTTGGGGCCTTGATAAGTGCTTCTCCTGACAGTTTATCTTCTAGGGTTTTTAGCATCCTGTTAGCTCACTGTACTCTCCCTGATGACTGCAGGTTGTAAGGGGTATGTAAGTTTTGGGTGTCACACAAGGAATGTGTTAAATGATCTGTAAAACAAAATGTTTTCCTCAATGCATGTCCAATGTGCTAGAAATCCTTTAGGACAGGGCTGTCAAACTTGCGGCCTGTGGGCCGGATGTGTCATGCCCTGGCCACACCTACGTCCAGTTTAGCGAAGGGGGAAAAAATCCCTATATTTCACGTGACGCCACAGTGACAATGTGAGTTTGACACCCCTGCTTTAGGAGGTAGTGAGAAGTTTCAATGGCAGTAGCATGTCAGCAAGGAAAGACTGCTATCCAGTAAGTTGATCTTTACACAGAAGCATGAGCTGGAAGCCCCATACTTCTCTGAATCTTGGGAGAGGTACAGGCACAAAATTGCACCCACAGGAAATGGAGAATGGAGATAAAACTGTACCTGAAAAGAAAAGAAGAATTTTACTTATATGCAAAATTTTATTCTGGTGAGCTCAGGTGAATGCTATGATTGTCAGCATTGTTTGTTGGGGAGAGAGGAGCCCTTCCCTTTGTTACGCCAAAGAGAGAGGTGACAAATTACACCAACTCAGTATTAACTCTTTCTTCTTTTGCTTTATATCAACTGCAAATTTATGTTTATAAATGTTTTTTTTAATTTTTCAATATAACTGCAAAGTTTTTTAAAAAAATATTAAGAGCTGCATACTTTTAAGATTATACTTTATGAAATCCATTGAATGCAATCTGTGTACAAAGGTTTTTTCCTCCAACCACAAGTGCTGCATATTTATAAGGATTATAATCACTCTGAACTGAATTTATATGAATGCATTGAATATGAATTTCTGTGTACTGAATGATCTGAATAAACTGAATGATCATTTATAGACTCTTTGGCTGCTGCAAGGCAAAGCTTTGTTTATGTTACAGAACCTCTGATTGTTGCAAGGCAAGGCTTTGTTTCTACTAATCACAAAGCAAAACTGCAAATTTAAGTAATCCTGCAAATGTATTAGAATAGTAAAACTCTGATTTATGAGGATTGTTGAACTGTGCTCTAAGCTGGCCATAAGATATCACAGTTTCTATTTCTCTGCAATTATTACTCTAACCTAGCAATAAGACACCCAGTTTCTATTTCTTTACAATTATGATTCTACCCTGTGGATGATAAAACTATAAAGATTGCAATATTTTTAAAGGAAATAATCTCTTCAGTATTATTACAAACTACTATTTTTTAAATAACCGTTTACATTACTACAAGCTGATATTTCCTTTTTTCCCCTTTTTAGCTGAGATTTTTTTTCTCTTCTCATTGTTTTATTCATCTGACAGTCTTTTATACATCTGTGGATTACAAACTATATCTAGAGGATTTAAGTTTAATGCATTTAAATTATATTTCAACATTAGCCACAAGCAAGAACTAAAAGACTAACATTTATGATTAGAAAATTTTAGTTTAAAATTTTTGTAAAAGAATATTTTAAATTTTGGGGAATTTTTGAAAATGAAATATTTAATTTTAGATGAGAAGGGGCATCATCAAGCCATCTAGTGACAGCAGGAAAAGTAGCCTGGACTCCCCTCCACAAAAGGCACATGTTGCTATATAGGAGATTCATTCTAGGGACAATCAATCTAGGGAGGTATTTTGTCTCCCAGGAGCAAAAATGAAAGATGATTCAGAGCCTTCCTAAAATAATCAAGCCCACAGATTTTTATCCCTTTCTTCTCTTCCATGTGGGGACAAATCATATGATAATGAACCTAAAAATAATATAAAGAGACTATACATGAAAACCAAAGAGTTAGGAGCACAGGTAGTGTTTTCATCAGTAATTCCAACAAAAGGTCAACACCAATGAGGGAAAAGAGATTTTTAGAAATAAAACACTGGTTTAAGGGATGGTGCCATTGAGAGAACTTCAGATTCACTGGTCTACATTACCTACATGAAGTGCTTCTGGCAGGTGATGGGCCGCACCTCACAAGAACCAGGAAGAATGTATTTGGAAAACTGGGTCACTGATCCAAAACTGAGGGGGAAGGTGACCTAATCCCAAGCATAAACCCCAAGACAACCAAACAAGGAGGCAAATAAAACGAGATGTTGGAAGCATACCCAGGGTCATCCATAAAGGATTCTGATGCCTATACACTACTGCTCAAAATTTGAGGAACAAACAAGATGAACTTGAAATATTAATACATGAGGATAGATATAATGGTAATTACCAAACTTGATGGGATGTAACTCACAACTGGAGTGTAATGCTGAAAGGATGCAAACTGTTCAAAAGAAACAGATTTGTTTCAAAAGAAAAATAGGTGGAATAGCATTACATATAAGAAATCACTAAACTTCTACAGAAATGCATAAAACCAAGGGTGAAAAACTCCCTGAAAGTATATGGTTTAATATAAAAGGAAAAAAGAAAAAAACCCTAGAATGACATTGCCATAGGTGTATTCTACAGGCCACCCAAGCAAGCAGAAAAAAATGAACATTTTGCTAATCAGTTAATTAATCTTTGCAGGAAACATACCACAATAGTAGTAGAGGGCCTCAACTACCCTGACATTAACAGGAAGACAAATTCTGCATCAAGTGGGAGATCA